TAATTGGTATATACGGAATGAATTCCAATAACCAACAATTACTATTCTTAAAAGAGTGCTCAATACAAAGTAGAGCAGATATAATTATTATTTATAAAAAAATTATAACATAAGTATGTTATAAAATCACTACAAAAATAGCCATTTTGTTTCAACACACTCGGTGTCTTATCAAGTGATGATGTTGAAGATAAAAAAAAAAAAAGGTTTTTTTATCTTCAACATCATCACAATAGTTTTCTGCATTATTTATCTACACATATGGATACAGTATTTACTTGAGAATTACACCAGATATAGGTTTCATATTTCCATCATTTTTTCAATATAATTCAACAAATATACTGATATAAACTTATAAAAAATACATATTAAAAAGATGAAGCAAATAAATCATTCAATCTCCATTCATAAAAGGAATAAATTAATAACATTGAAGAGGGAAAAGTTTTAAGTGGTTGGTTCTAAACAACTGGAGGTTATTCTGGAATGTTCTAAGTAGTAACACTGTATCAATTCATTACTAATCAATGCCAAAATGTAGGGAGAATCCTGCACACACCAGAGATAGCATGGTCTTGATAAAAATTGTTATGGTTCAGTACTACAGGGTGCCTAGTAAAAAAAAAAGTATCAAATTTATTCTTTGAGAAAATACACCAACTGTAATTGGTCCAACTTAGTGGCCCTCTGAAAGCCCAGATCTGAGTGTTGTGGATTACTGTATCTGGAGTATCCTTTTAACTGACTTGCAAAACCATTGTCGCGACATTGTTGATATTGATTCATTGAAGTAGAACTTAACTGAAGCCTGGAATGAAATTCCTTTTGACACTATCCACAAAGCTCCTTACAACTTTGTGTTGAACATTCAGGCAAACATTTCAAACATCTACAATAATTGTTCACTTTGTGCATGAATTATAATAACTAAATAAATTTATTTAGTTATTATAATTCATGCACAAAGTGAACATGCACAAAGTGCCCAATAAAAAAGTGCCACTTTTTTATTGGGCACTATGTATTAGTAAAGATCTATAAGTTTATATGTGCATCATTAGTTCTATAATTCACAAGGTGAAGGAACATGGCTCAATGGTGAACCGTCTTCAATCTAACATCCCTGCTGGAATAATTTTCTTTGGTTTGATGAGAGTCAGATAAAGTAATTTGATCTCAATTGACATCATTAAATTTGAAGGTAGAAGAACAAGGAATTCAAGACAGAGAACATCATTGTAACTCTGAAGCATGCAGGCGGCAATCTAATAGATCTAAAAGATAAGATCAAAGCAACAAAAACAGTAGTTGGAAAATAAGATGATCTGCCTATTAAAGTGGCCCAGTCAGGACAGTGAAACTTGACCATTTGTGCTCATGCTCTCGAGCCAAGTAATTTGAACAAAATGAAGATCTGATAGCAGAAGAATGTTCAGCTATTTACAGGAAGCAACTGGAGGCTGTCATTGCAAACAAAGGATTAGACCCTGTTTGATTTTGCTTTCTCTAAGTTATTGAATACGTTTTTGTTCCATCTTTTTTTTTAAAAAGATGGAACAAAACAGATCTTTTATAATTTTATATAAATGTTTTCACTGAAATGTTTGCTTATAGTTACTAGTGTAAAGATGAAACTTATATACTATGTGTAGACAAAAAAGGTAAACTTTTTTTTTATGATATGTATATTTTCTAATATTTCTTAGATATTCAGGCTGGTAGATGAAAATAAATATACTAATTAATAAACAAATGGAGGATCTTTCAAATTGATATCGACTAAAACTAACATTTAAGTAATAAAATATGTTGGATTAATAAATGAAGAATCCATTCCTAAAATTGTTTTGTTTATGTTAGGATATGAAACTGAGCAGAGATGTATATTTTTAAGAGTAGGAGGGGAAAAAATCTGTGCACTATTCGAGCTTAGCTTAGCCATCAAGCACTCTGTAACAGGGAGCTCAAAGCACATCAAATCTAAAAATGATCTTAAAGGATTATTTGAAAACAATCTTGTAAAAACAGTTTTCACAACCAGATCAAATCTTGATATAGACAATCATTTTGTAGTCTTGTAACTTTTCTGCACCAAACTAAACTTTTATATAGATAAAAAAAAAAAAAAAAAAAGAGGAAAGAGAGAGAAAGATGATACTGCATAAGTTAGTTAACAGTGCATCTGAATTTCCATAAAAATATCACATATCTCTCTTACACATATACAACCTAAAGGTGTAAAATGAGACAGTGAACTGCAAATATCTCCTGACAAATGAAGACAATGAAACAGTTTTATTGCAAACAATCACACTTAGAAAACAAATTAATAAAAGGTGCTTTTGGTTTTAGACAGAGTGCCTAAGTAATTAGTGTAAGTGGTACTATAAAATTCAAAGTCAAGTTAATAAAACGACAAAAGTGGAGCCAAAAGATTTACATTTTTCATACTACCTACTTGGGTCACAATTTATTGCATTTAACAACAGAATTTCAATGTTCCAGTTGAAAATTTATCTGTAGTTACAGAATGAGATAGCCATTAGACATTTGGCAAAATAATTGAGATAAGTGAAGTGGAAAGTTACAAGTAACCATTCATCTTCACTTGGTTTGTTGATAAGTTCTGGCTGAAGTGGATTATTAGCAATAACTAAATGAAAAAGTGTGAATGTCAATTTCACTTTAAGATTAGTGTACAGTTTTTAAAAAAAGTTATTGAAGAGAAGAGAGAAGGAGAGAAGAAGAGAGAGAAAAAAAGAGAGAAGAGAAAAAAGAGAGAAGAGAAAAAAAGAGAGAAGAGAAAAAAGAGAGAAGAGAGAAAAAGAGAGAAGAAAGAGAGAAAAAACAGAGAGAAGAGAGAGAAGAAAGAGAGAAAAAACAGAGAGAAGAGAGAGAAGAGAAAAAAAAAAAAACCTCACCAGGCTTTTTTTTTTTTAGGACTTGTTCCCTAGCTTATACAAATATCATCGTGAATTTCTAAATAGATAAAACTTTCTGCTTGAAATCCTTTTTAATTTAGAAATGAGAAACAACTATATAAAATAAAAGCAGAAAAATTTTACCAATTAATAATTACTCAACTTATTACTAAAACAAAAATGAAATCATCATGCTACCACAAGAGAAGCGCAAATAATTGTTAACTATTAGCTTTCAAAAGGGGATGTGAATACTAATACTCATGGTTATTGCAAAGGTGGAATGAGTCAATGTCAGTGAGCACCAAAATTGGAAATTTTACTTTCAATTGTGAAGCAAGTGATCCTATAATTCAACAAAGAAAAAGAAACTACAACTATATTCAGGTTAATCTCTGGGTCATCAGAAAGTCATCATTGCTCAATGAGAAAGGAAATTTTTAAAACTCCTATTGCAAGGTCACAGATGCTGCAAAGTGTGTCAAAATCAGCCCAAGAATGGCAATGTATGGTATCATCATCATCATAGGAATTATTATTATTAAGTCATTTCTTAAATCCATAAACATTCAACAAAAGAAAGTAGTCACTAATTGTGGTGACCATGAGGGAACTTGTATAATAGATATCTTGTATGAGTGACTGTGTCACATTTTATTTAATTAAAAGAAAAATATCAAATTCTTGATGAATGAATATATGATTGCCTTGGTAGATGACAATCTGAAAGAAAAGTCATTTTTATAATAATATCACATCTTACTTTTTATTAAAAATCACTTACAAATAGACTAGTGGCTAAAAATATGACTTGATCTGTACTTGCCTATGCTAATTCTTATGTCTCTCTAGATTATCCCTAACAATTTATTTCTAGTCTTAATTTATAAAATTTCTATAATTAATAAAAATATATAATAATATTATTTAAAAATGAATTTCAATGTTGACAGAAGCATGCCAACATATTTTCAATATCAACTCCATTTTGAACAAATAAAACATTTCTGTAGTCATATGTGCTTAAAATAAGTTCTATTCAAAAGTGCTGATTATCAGGGATAGAGTGTTTCCAGATAGAATGATGATCACTTAAGGTGTGAAACTGCCTGTCACCATATAGTTTTGAGTTTGATGTCAACACATGGTATGGTGAACATAGGAATCAACACTGCATAGTGACTGTCAGTGTCATACTTCAAACGATCTTCAGACCAAGTGTCGCTACTACTAATTTAGAGGACTCTATAGATACAGAACCCGCTAAAGGAGGAGTGGCACATTGTTTGCAGATCGCTTTGAGGTAGAACACTAACAGTGATCATACCATGTTGATTCTCATGTCCACACTGTCTATATATACAAATATTCTATCTCCAATACTAAGCACTCTTGTCCTACAAATATCGCAAATTTTGAATAGTAAACAGTTTTAAGGGATATATTCAAAGCTTGTTTTGGAGGATGAAGAACAAAATATTCAGATGTTATCCTGTATGTCTTAAGAAAGTGGCAATATATCAGTCAAAAATATATCATGTAATGGTTAGCAGCTTAGAATGAGAAACTGGCAAGCTGAGTTTGAATTCCAGCCAAGTTCGTTACATTCATTCTCACCTTTGGAAAAGGTAAGAATCTATATATTCTCCCCCAGAGTTAAATAGCAGGATAAACTGGGCTCCCTAGCCATGATTGGAAACCAGCCTAGAAGATAAACAAATCTGAATTCAAAACCCTGCCATCTAAAATTATACAAAGATGGGATGCAGATGCTATGCCTGTAAAACAAAAATATGACAGATTGCAATAATTAAGGATAAACCTACCAGACAGTTATCCAGAATGCTAATGACACTAACGATGGTTGAAAAGTTGACTGACTGATATATTACATTTTTACTTAGTGTTGACTAAAAGCAAAAATAAAATCTTTTGCACTACTAAGAGTTTTAATAGAAACTGAAAAACTGAGAACGAATTAAAACAACTAATTGGATCCGTTTTATGAGATGCAAAAATAGTAAAGAGAAATTTTGTCATGTATTATCAGCTTTAATCAGAGATGTTTCTGCTTACCTCTTTGTGTTCTTTGCTGACTTTCAGTGAAGTAAAGGCTTCATCTCCAATACGACATGGCCAATGGACCTTTCGGGTTAGTTTTGGTACCACAGCTGCTGCCTTGGTACTATCTTCTGTTGTACCACTCTTGGAAGTGCTGCCAGATGTTCCACTGGTTGTAGATGTTGTATTTTGGCCCCCCTTACTAGAGGCAGCATGGGATGTCTTACTGCTGCTGCTGCTGCTACTGGTGATGCTGCTGCTAGGTCTTTCATCCTCCTAGATAAAAAAAAATAAATAAATATGTCATCTAAATCCGGTTAAAAAATATTAAAGCAATAAAACAGACTGTAATATTGTTTGGGCTTATTTCTGTAATAGTGATGATATTGTTAGTAATAGCAAAACTGTGCCTTTCATGAATATAGTCTCTTCTAGTATATCCCGTATAAACTAATCAACAAAAATGTAGTAACAGATTCTCTTTTTCACAGATTCATTTTCAAATAATTTGTATTCTGGTATAGTAATATATATATATATATATATATACTGAGATATTAGATGTCAAAAAATAAATATGATGGATTACAAAAGGAAATTGCAAGATTTTTTTTTTTTTAAATAAATATGTGAATGAAATGAAATAGCTCATAAATTACAAAGTCAATGATAGAAAGAGACTAGATTAATATTTTCAGAAAAAAAAAAAAATGAATTGCATTATTCATTACTTTGGCAAATGAAACATTATACAGGGTGTCCCTAAAGTCTGGACACTCATGAAAAAAAATTTTTTTTTTTTAACCTCCACAGATTAACCTTTAGCACTCAAAATGTTTGTACAACTACTGCATGCAACACTGATCATGAAACAATAGTGTGGTTGAATTTTGCACTAGTGTTATAATATCCTACTATGGCAACAGGAAAAATGACTAACTGAAAATCAAAAATCATACTACTGCATTTGCCTGATCATTTATACCCAATGGATGAAATATGAATATTGCATTGTGCTAAAGGTTAAACATGGTTTTGTCAAAAGAAAGAAAGAATTGACTTCTTTTTCTGGGGTATGCTAAAGGAGAAGGTGTACTCAATGAAAATCACAGATGCAACACACTTGATTGAACGTATATAGAGTGAATGTGCTATGTAGAGTTACTGCATGAATCTTGCAAAGCGTATCACAAATGTTGGAAATCCTATTGAAGAAGTTATATGTTAATATTCAAATTTAATAAAATGTTGAAAATTTAATTTCTTGAAAATATGCATTTATTACCTCTGTGCCCAGACTTTAGGGACACCCTGTAGAGTGATTATATTTAAGAAATGGTACATATACATAAACAAGCAATTTGTCCATATAGTCCAATGTCTTGTTTCACTTATATATACTGAGCTGAGGTACTGATTTCAAATCAAACATAAGATAATAAATATAAGGATATTTTTGATTCACTGATATTTAATTGAGTCCCACCATGATGAGCATTATCATTTACAAATTTGTTGAAAATTGTAATCTGCATCAGATTTCTTGGGGGTAACAGTACCAATCTTGACTGACAACTATTAGTATTTGCAGGCCAAAAAACAAAGTGGAAAATAAATTACAATTTTAATGTACAAAATAGGAAACCATATGCATTTATTTTTTGTAAATTATTACAAATGCCTTCTTTGTTTTTCTTCTGAGTTTAATTAACTTTGACATCTAACAATTCGTCTTCATAGCCCAGAAAAGAAATAAAGCAAAGAGCAGAATGTTTTATGGTCAGGTTTATTGCTGAAACAATAAAACCTTTAAGATATAGAAAAATTAAATACACACAGTACTTGTAAATATAAATCAAGTGGTAATTTGTTCTAAGACAAAAAAATAAAAGACTGATGAACAATAAATAAGTAGTTTAGCAACAGTAACCAAGGTGTTAATGCAATTAAATGCAACAAGACAAAAAAAAATTAATTATAAGCTGTTAGAGTTATCTTTAATCAAGTAATATAAGATGACATTTGCATAAGGTCAGAAGGTTGTCTAGGAAGAAAGTGAAGAGAGAGGGTGAAAACATCGCAAGAGATAAATCGTGAAGGAATCAACTCCTTGCAAATGGATAAGGAATTCTGGGGAAAATGACAGAATATTAAGTAGAGGACTAATATAGTGAATAAACAACAGCATTTTCAACTTTAATCTTTAATAGAAAACTGTTTATGAATACATTTTTTACTAAGTAGAGAATCTTTTTCATATTCCTAGAATGATAAGGTGGGGGATAAATAGTGTACGAAAATGAGTAATACACATAAAGAGGGTTAATATCATGAGTGATAAGCATAGAAACAAAGAAGGGGGAGATTGTGGGGGTGGAGGAGGAAATGAGTGGAGAGTAGGAAGATATGAATTAATGGTTTCAGCATAAAACAGAGTAAAGTAAATAAATCAACAAAGAATATTTTCTAGAAATAGTCTGGCTCAATACAATCACATATGTTGAGATTAAGAAAACAGGAAATAAAAATAAAAAAAAATGCACATAGTTAAAAATTTTAATGTTCAGCAGAAGCAAAAAGCAAGGGATATCCAAAAACTATTTTATGAATAGAACCAGAAAATCTGTATATATCAATTTTGTCATGACTAATAGATAAAAGCCTGTTATATGAGAGGAAGCTTATGATTAAAAAATTACACTAAATAGTTTGTTCCATAAGAAAATGATAACAAATAAAAGGGGGATATTTAAATAGTAGTACTAGAGTAGGTCACTAGATTAAGAGGCTCTCTTTCTAAAAGTATATGAATAAAATGAAGTTGTTTTTATAGTGAATCTTATTTGTATATTTACAAAGCCATACAAATAATACCAAAAGAGATAGTAATATTGCATGATAATGTCTTGTAAAGGGGGAACTGAGTCTAAGATGTAAGCGGCTTAAAAGCACTCAATGATAAAAACGAAAATCACAACAAATATAAAAGATGACCAAATTAATCGACAGAATGACACTAATCATGTCTTCATAGCCAAGAACCTGAATGCTATTCCACAGAAGCTAAAAAAAAAAAATGTTAACTTAATTAACAAATCAATTAGCTATAAGAGAGTGGGTGGGGTAGGAAGAATAGTAAACGCAAAACTCTTGATGAAATTTGCAATTCTGATAGACCTTTTTTTATACAAAAGGTTGGCTTTTGATAAATAAAAAAGGTCAAAGTTCAAGCATGCAGAAATTATGAATTTGGGCTCTGAATACAAGAAATCACAAATATCCAGCCTATGCAAAAGCAGAGGATTAATAATTGTTAAAGTATAAACAGCAGCTATAATAAATCAATAATATGCAAATTCTTTATCTCGGTAAATGATAAGAAAACAATGTTCAGAAGAGTGAGAACATGAAGTTCTGAAAGTGTTTTTTGAAAGCCCAGGATATTTTGGAAATGCCTATCTACAGCATTTGCATTTAAGTCAAGTTAGTAAGTCCAATACCTGGATTGGGTAGATAACATGAAGAGAATGAACTTCTTGTAAAAGAAAAAAATTTCAGTAGCCTAAATGTCAACAATTAGATGTTATTCTACTTAACATGAATAGCCCTCAACAGTAAAAACATTCCTAGAATACTTTTGTAATGCTACCCAATAAAGAAAGAAAGTATAGTGCTTGTTGGGACTTGTTTGCTTAATTAATAAATTAAACATCATTTTCCCAAATATCCTTGAACTGATGAACTGACATATAATAATCCTATTACACAACTATACAAGAAAACAATTTAAAAAAAGTGGGGGACAGAATCTACAATCTTTTCACAAGAATCTTCCAGTTTTCTAAAATGGTTCTTGGTAAGAAAGCCAAAGCTTTCAAGAAAAGCAGAAATCATGGAATAAGGCAAGGTGGGAAAATGTAATCTCTCTGAAAGGCCAGAATCAGATTGATGTGTTGTGATAATGATTGAAAACAGTGAATCAGGCAGAAGATGGAAAGGGTGACAAATGTGCCAAAAATGCAACATCCTCCTCCTCCTCTAATGATGATGATGATGTTGAAAGCAATGTGATGTAGGATGAAAGAAGAGCTGCAGGCAAGACTGCTGACATAACAATTATTTCTATCTAATATTAGAAGACTATGAAATATGGCAGCCATTAGAAGCAAAAAAGCTAACACTGGAAATTCTCTTGAAAACTGGACACAAAATGTTCTCAAATTTACATTTCATAAAAAAAAAAAAAATAGATGTCCAGTGATGAACCAATAAAAAACTTCCAAAGAGATAAATGATGAGGATGGGTTTTAAAAATAAAATAAAGAGAAAAAAAAATAAGTAGATGTGGCAAATGCAATCTGATTCTGAAAAAGTATTAAACTTTTAAAAATTTTCAGAATGTCATTAGTTCTTTAGGAATTTGTAAAGACTTTAAAATTAGCAATAAATAGTTTGTTTTATAAAGGAGAAACGTTTTTATTTAATAACCATTTCAGACAAATATTTTTAGATTAAAAATCAGAATAAATAAGCATTACAAATTTCAACATTCATAAAATTAAAAAAAGAATAAAAGAATCTAGCTGAATACCTTTCCTATAAACAAAGGAAAGTTAAGTCATCATAAAAGTTCTCTTACCTGTAAAATTCATGTATAAATAACATTTTCAACAAGACATCTATATTCTAAATTATTTTGTTTTCTTTATACTAAACCCACTTGAATTTCCTCCCATAGAGCTGACCATGAGAGAAACATCTGAATAATTTTCTAATGCTTATATTAATAATAATTATCATTAATTCAGTAAACTTATTTTTTACTTGTTTAAATAATTCAGTACAGTTTTAAGAAAATGTAATTAAATAGATACTTTTGACTGGTTTGGATAATTCCAAAAATTTTTTTCTGCCTTTTTGAGTAATTCATAGTAATGTGAAATAGCAGATGAAAACCAGGTTTATTATGAACAAGAGGTTTTCTAAATTACAATGGATTTTTTTTAACAAGGTAGATGTTAATTTTAACATACAAACACGATGATTAAAATTACTGACAGAAACATTGTTTATATATGGCAATTTTTCAAATTTAGGTTAGAAATAAATAATACAGAAGAAATATGCTGTAAATGCCATTTCTAAGATTATATATATATATATTTCATATAATAATTCATCAAGTTTAGAACAAGAATCCTCAACAGAATGCAGACATTTTGGGACTTATCAGCAATGCACATCCACTACTGAGAATCGAACCTGGACTGTTATGA